TATTTAAAAGTTCAAATGTGAAGATAGGTGATACTCATAGCAGCTGTTATAATAAGCGTTTAAAAGTTCAAATGCGAAGATCTGTGATACGCATAGCAGCTGTTGTAAGTATTTAAATGTTTCGATGCAACATTTGTACTCCTACTACTAGTATATTCAGTTTGAAAGAAGCTGTGAAGATCTTTGATTCTCGTTGCAGCTCTTCTTGTTTAAAAGTTGTGGAACAATTAACCTGTGCTCCACGTACGGCATGGCCTGGTCGACATGGCCGGTCTGGCTCAATATCTCGGCGGGGTCCAAGTACAAAGATTCCTTCGATCCTTCCAGTCTCACTCGTTCAGCTCCACCACCGGCACTTAACTTGGAGCTGTTCAGGCTCGAGGGAGCCCGTGTGGGTGCATTGCGGCGGTAGGTGCCCACCACTGATCACATGCACGCAACAACGAGCCCGCTATTTCATGCGTGCATGCAATCAAACCAGAGCTTTAAGAGCATTACTAGTAGAACCCTCAAACCCTCAAATCCTTAAAGCAGTTTTAAGGGTTGAGAAATGCCATTTTTTTAACATTTTTAAGGATTAAAAAACAGGGGCAAATACTAGAACCCTCAAACCCAACCCTTAAACTGCTTTAAGGATTGGATTTGAGGGTGCTAGTCTTTGCCTTGACCCCAACCTTTAAATCTATCATTTGTCATCTCACCATTTATGACAACAAAAACACAATCAACTTCCAAACAAACTACCAAATGACAATCATTGATGCATGGTTTAATAGTTTACATCACAAAATCATCATCTTCCTCCTCTCATCGGCACCATCACCAAAAAGTTGCACCTCGGCGCCATCTCCTAGACCACAAGCGGGCTCCATCAAGCATCTCCATGGGCACCGGTGGGGTCGTACACACCGCCATCACCACAACTACTCATCGGAGTGTCACCTCGAAAAGTAGAGGACGCAACACGGAACATCCTCTTCCTCTCCGCGATGTCCTCCTTGTAGTCGTTCCACCATTGCAATTGGTCTTGATCCATGTCCTTCTTGGACATCATCATGTGCTCTTTCTCTTCCACCATGAGTTCTTTCCATACCTTTGCCTCTTTGAGCTTGATCATCCTCTCCTCCAACTCGGCCTTGCGCTTTGCTTCTTCACGCTTTGTTTCAACTTGTGCAAGCTTGACCTCTTTCTTCTTCTCGGTGATAAGAAGCTTCGTCTCCAATGTCTTCGTTGTCAATTCCTATCTTGCCTTCATCATGTGGTCCATCTTCTCCCTTAGGCTTGACGCCTCTTCTTCCATCTTCACCCTTAGCTTGCCCTTCTTGGTTCCCTCGGGCTTGCCCAAGTTCCTCTCCTCCTCATCTTCACTATCATCCATCCTTAGCATTGCCGACTTCTTGGGTGCGGTCTCTTGATCCCTCAACTTCCACTTGTCAAAGGTTTGAAGAATTGACCAAACATGCTTAAATGGGAATGGCTTGCCCTTGGAAGCGGCCATCTCCATGTACCTCATGCCGGCAATTGTCTCCTATCAACCACACATAAATCACATAAGAACCCACCAATAGCATAGTGCACACACATAATCAAAATAGTGAAGAAATATGTACTCACATAGTCACTCTCCACGGTTCCACTAGGTGGTGCATCCCTCACTTGGTCCATGGCCGCACTCCAACGAGCACAAGCGGGCTTGATCAACTCCCACCGGCCTTGAAGCGACCGGAAAGTGCGAGAGATGAACCCACTATTCTTCGGCTTGATCCTAAAATAGGTGTCCTCGACCCTTTGCCAATACAGTTTACCGGTTTGATCGGTGCCGGTGGTTGCATCCATTCCCACAGTCGCCCAAGCACGAACCAAGAGGATATCTTCTGCCTCGGTGTAGTTTGTCGACCGCGCGTGTGGGCGGGAAGCGGCGGTGAATGCCTCCTCCCCTATCTCGGCCACCTCCTCGTCGTCATCCCCTTCATCCTCCTCATGTTCCTCCATTTCCTCCAAGTCGTCACCAACCCTAAAGGGATCTAGAGGCGGAGCTCCGAGGTCCACCTCCGCATTTTGGAGGAGGTCCATGAACGAGGATGGGGTTGCCATTTCCTCGAACACCTCGTGCGCGACGGGAGGAGGTTCGACGACGGCGGCGGGCGGGGCTGCGGGCTTCTTCCGCGGCTTGTTCACGGTCGGGGACGAGCCGGCGACCTTGGAGGCTGCCCCTCGCGGCCCATGAGAGGCCGCCTTCGGCCGGCTCTTCTTGGTGGCCGGGGCGGGAACCGGGGAGGCGGCGAGGGCGGGCGCTGGGGCGGTGACGGTGGCCGGGGCGGGAGCCGAGGAGGCGGCAGGAGGAGGTGCGAGGCCCACCCGCCGCCGCTTGGCCCCGACGTGGGTCGCCGCCACCACGTCGGC